TAACGAGAATGCCTCTAGGATTGTTTCAGTTGGCAGCCCAAAGCAGCATCTTCAGTGTTTAGCGCTTGATATTTTTCAGCTTTGCCTAGTGAACGATATTCAGATTGATGCGCAGTGAATTCCTCGCGATGCTAATGTTAGAGCTGATCTTTTAAGTCGTTTTGCGGACAAAGATGACTGGTCTTTAAATTGTGAGATTTTTGCCCAGTTGGATTCCAGGTGGGGTCCGCATTCTGTTGATCGATTTGTCGCTCATTACAACGCTCAATTGAGGAGATTTAAATCAAGATTTCAGTCGCCGGGCTGTTGTGCAGTCGATGGCTTGTCTCAGGTTTGGCATGGTGAAAATAATTGGCTCTGTCCACCAGTGTCTATTATTGTGGATGTTATTAGATACGCGCGTGCTTGCCGCGCGGTCGGCACACTAATTGTTCTGCATGGCCATCGGCTTTTTTCTGGCCGTTGTTGTAGCCTCGCCCTTCCAGATTTGCTTCATTTGTTGTGGATATCGTACGCTTGCCCAGAAGATCTGATATTATTATCCCTGGTCCTGGCCAAAAGGTTTTTTATCGCTGCAAGCCCTCAGTTTTCTGTGGTTGCCCAAAATTCAGCATGCTAGCGTTACGTATAGATTTCAGGTTAGCGTTGCTGACCTGTCAGTTTTTGTTTGTCTGTTTGTTTTTGTATATACCTTTTCTAGGCATTACAGTTTGCTTGTATTGTTGAACATTTGCTTGCAGTTAATCAGTCGGCCCGCCAAGCGGAGCCCCATACTCATATAGGAAAGGAAAGGAAACCCATGAGTTGATTTTCTCATGGTTATCATGGCTAGCGGTATTGCTCGTGGGCGCGTACACACAACGGAGACGACGACGACGACGACGGAGTCGCGAAACATGGCGGCCGTACTCCAAATAATAGGTTGACAGAGACCTGCACCCTTGGTTTACCGTTGACTTCTTTGATATTGGACATCCATGTTATGATCAATTGACACCTATCAAAACAAGGTATCCCCTGGCCAGTATCACGTGACCATATCGCGGGCTCAAGTTTACAGGTCATTGAGGTCACGTGTTGTTTAAAGTTGACCGCTGACCAAGTGTTAGTTTTCGATTGGATCGCGGGTTTATGTCAGGATTAAAAGTTAACGGAATAATAACTTTTTCTGCTATACAAATGTTTTTTGCTGCTTTGTTTTGTGTATATGGTGATTATTAAAACTCAAAACAGAAGACCAAACAATATACAGAAAACCTCAAATTTCTATCTTTTCCTGGGTTAGCTTAATCGGGCTCTGAACCCGGCACAGGAGCTACGCTTTTAGGCTGGCCTAAATCTATATATTAGTTGTATACCACGGGTTAGCACTTGATGTGCGATGCCGTTCTTACCGAAGCATCATGCCCGGGGCATCATGTCGCCTACCTTTGGCTGATACATTTGAGAGGGTGCATTGTTTGCCCTCTGTTGTAGCAGTTTGTTGATAGCTGCTCCTGTCTGGGGTATATTTACCTGTTTGTTTTTGCGCAGTGTTGTTTGCTCGCTACCCTTATTTTTGTTTTTTTTAAGGTATCTTGCAGAACGGGGGCTTCACGGTGAATCTCCAGGATCCGTCATTGAAGTTAATGGTTCCGCATCTGGTTGAAATTTTGTTAGAGTCTAGCGCAGCAAACACAGCCTACAAGTACAGCTA